CACCCCCCACCCCTTACATAGACAAAACATCTCTCACAGAAAGAGGAAGATAGCATTTTATTTGTTTGGTTTGTGGAATGGTTGTGTCAATGGTGGAAGTGTTTTTAGGAAAGAAAGTCTCTAAGTACTAAACGTATTGCTTACCTCGCTTTACATTGTTATCGTTCGCTGGAGAATAAGCTGGAAAATAAGAGAGAGATGTATTAATTCAATTATATATTTGTAAATCTGATAGACAAGTCCAAATATACGCAAATAATATGCGGTATGATGAAATTAAAATCTTAGAATAGATAATAAAAATCAGTATTGACTTCTCAAAATTTCCTTGCATATACTAGAGAAGTGTCCAGGGCAAGAGAGGGGTGCAATAAATAACACTTCAAAATATTTTAGGAAGAATTTCCGTATCGTTCAGCCTTTGGAATCGAAGAATCTTACATTGATTTTGAAACACATTCTTTTTTTCTTTATTCAAAACCAACAGAAACTTTTATTTTAGGTTTCCCATGCTTTTTACATGATTTTGTAATAACTGCTTGTTTTCCAAACCTTCGATTTCTCCAGAGAGCAAATTTTAATTGTGTTGAAATGTTATGGGCAGGTTGTTATACAGTGTCATTAAGCGTGTACGTGAAGACGTATTCATACAAGTATGTGCATCATGCTTTTTGTCACATGGTTAATAAATGTCCCAAACTAGTGCACATTACAGTTATGTGCCAAACTAGAGATCATTACATGTACAGCTGTATACCGTACTAGTGCACATTACAGTTATGTGCCGAACTAGAGATCATTACATGTACAGCTGTATATCATACTAGTGCATAGTACAGCTGTTTATCGTACTAGTGCATATTACACCTGTATACCGTACCAGTGCATATTACAGCTGTATACCGTACTTGTGCATATTACAGCTGTATACCGTACTAGTGCGTATTACAGCTGTTTATCGTACTAGTGCATATTACACCTGTATACCGTACCAGTGCATATTACAGCTGTATACCGTTCTACTGCATATTACAGCTATATACCGTACTAGTGCATATTACAGCTGTATCCCGTACTAGCGCATATTACAGCTGTTTATCGTACTAGTGCATAGTACAGCTGTATACTGTACTAGTGCAGATTACAGTTATGTGCCGAACTAGAGATCATTACATGTACAGTTGTATACCGTACGAGTGCATATTACAGCTGTATACCGTACTAGTGCATAGTACAGCTGTATACCGTACTAGTGCATATTACAGCTGTTTATCGTACTAGTGCATAGTACAGCTGTATACCGTACTAGTGCATATTACAGCTGTGTATCGTACTAGTGCATATTACAGCTGTTTATCGTACTAGTGCATAGTACAGCTGTATACCGTACTAGTGCAGATTACAGTTATGTGCCGAACTAGAGATCATTACATGTACAGTTGTATACCGTACTAGTGCATATTACAGCTGTATACCGTACTAGTGCATATTACAGCTGTATACCGTACTAGTGCATATTACAGCTGTATACCGTACTAGTGCATATTACAGCTGTATACCGTACTAGTGCATATTACAGCTGTATACCGTACTAGTGCATATTACAGCTGTATACCGTACTAGTGCATATTACAGCTGTATACCGTACTAGTGCATATTACAGCTGTATACCGTACTAGTGCATATTACAGCTGTATACCGTACTAGTGCATATTACAGCTGTATACCGTACTAGTGCATATTACAGCTGTATACCGTACTAGTGCATATTACAGCTGTATACCGTACTAGTGCATATTACAGCTGTATACCGTACTAGTGCATATTACAGCTGTATACCGTACTAGTGCATATTACAGCTGTATACCGTACTAGTGCATATTACAGCTGTATACCGTACTAGTGCATATTACAGCTGTATACCGTACTAGTGCATATTACAGCTGTATACCGTACTAGTGCATATTACAGCTGTATACCGTACTAGTGCATATTACAGCTGTATACCGTACTAGTGCATATTACAGCTGTATACCGTACTAGTGCATATTACAGCTGTATACCGTACTAGTGCATATTACAGCTGTATACCGTACTAGTGCATATTACAGCTGTATACCGTACTAGTGCATATTACAGCTGTATACCGTACTAGTGCATATTACAGCTGTATACCGTACTAGTGCATATTACAGCTGTATACCGTACTAGTGCATATTACAGCTGTATACCGTACTAGTGCATATTACAGCTGTATACCGTACTAGTGCATATTACAGCTGTATACCGTACTAGTGCATATTACAGCTGTATACCGTACTAGTGCATATTACAGCTGTATACCGTACTAGTGCATATTACAGCTGTATACCGTACTAGTGCATATTACAGCTGTATACCGTACTAGTGCATATTACAGCTGTATACCGTACTAGTGCATATTACAGCTGTATACCGTACTAGTGCATATTACAGCTGTATACCGTACTAGTGCATATTACAGCTGTATACCGTACTAGTGCATATTACAGCTGTATACCGTACTAGTGCATATTACAGCTGTATACCGTACTAGTGCATATTACAGCTGTATACCGTACTAGTGCATATTACAGCTGTATACCGTACTAGTGCATATTACAGCTGTATACCGTACTAGTGCATATTACAGCTGTATACCGTACTAGTGCATATTACAGCTGTATACCGTACTAGTGCATATTACAGCTGTATACCGTACTAGTGCATATTACAGCTGTATACCGTACTAGTGCATATTACAGCTGTATACCGTACTAGTGCATATTACAGCTGTATACCGTACTAGTGCATATTACAGCTGTATACCGTACTAGTGCATATTACAGCTGTATACCGTACTAGTGCATATTACAGCTGTATACCGTACTAGTGCATATTACAGCTGTATACCGTACTAGTGCATATTACAGCTGTATACCGTACTAGTGCATATTACAGCTGTGAACCGAACTAGTGCATATTACAGCTGTGAACCGAACTAGTGACGATACCGTCTTATACGGAACTAGTGAGAATACCGTTTTGACAGAACTAGTGAGAATACCGTTTTGACATAACTAGTGAGAATACCGTCTTTTACGGAATTTGTGAGAATATCGTCTTTTACGGAACTTGTGAGAATACCGTTTTGACAGAACTAGTGTGAATACCGTTTTGACAGAACTAGTGCGAATACCGTTTTGACAGAACTAGTGAGAATACCGTTTTGACAGAACTAGTGCACAATCCAGTTGTTTACCGAACTCGTACTGATTGCACTTGTGTATCGAACTCGTGACATTACAATACATATCGTTATTGTCTACTCTATGCCCTTCGCGGACAAATGTTATTGCACACTAGATTATCACCTGCTAAATTACTACTGTATGTACAAGCATTAGAATGGATATAGGCTGATAGTTGTACATTTGCTCCATCACATTTTTTTTTTCCAAAACAATTACCTGTATATTGTTATTTGCAATATCACCTATTACGTCAACTGAGACTAGATTGAAAAATCATCTTTCTGATTTAACACATAAGGTCATTGATGCTCAACCAGTATATATCTACTTGTCTGTGACATAATTGATTTATCATCTCGCAACTCTAGCAAGTACAAAAATGTAATAATCCCCAAGCCTTAGTCTACAAATTATGAGGTTATATGGGGGTACACTGAAAGAACGGTAAACAGGTTTTACGTAGACAATAATATGTTGACTGTAAATTTAATTAAACAGTTACTGCTGTACGTTCAAACCATGGTGGAAAGGTTAGATGGCAAAGAGTACATGAACCACAACGTGTTAAAAAGTGCAAAGGAAAGACAACTCTAAGGCTCTGGAAAGTACAATTTATCTATGTACGGGTTTGTCTTGTAATTTTCATTATTACTATCAGCTGAAAGTTAATTACTTACTAAACCACGCGTGATATTACCATGACAAACGTACTTATTTTTTACCATACCTGTTATCCTATAGTATTTCTCTTACTTAATGTTGTCGTATAATGTACTCATTGGGTTTTTTTCAAACCTGTTATTTGTTTTACAACTCCCAGACAATGGTTTATTTATATCATTTCTCGTTGGATTCTCTTTATATTTGTCCTGTAGGCATTTTGATGTTCCTATCGAGTGACTCATATCGACCGTTTAAGAACGTGCATTGTAACATAATACAAAAACACCAGATCACTAAGCATATACGACCGGAAGTTGTTCATTTTCCGTCTTATATCAAAAATAAAATTTAAGAAATAGAAAATTGAATAATTCCAAATATATAGAAAATGTTTTACGACTTAAAAGATGAAAACAGGTACAATATCTGTTTAGAATTTGATATCTGACTCTAAGTTCAGGTTGTAATTTGAATATAATTGTACTGGTAAATGTTCGGGTGTTGTGTTATAAAGTATAAGGAGATGATGTTGCACGTGCAAAACAATCATTCTCAAGTGACGTATCAATCGATTTCTCTCCATAATTGATTTATGTGAAACCAACAGTTGATGTTGAACCCATTAGAAACGATTTCAAGTGAATTCAAGTTTTATTTCGGCATTCTAGATGAAATAAATAGCTTTTGTCATACATTCATCGGGGAATGTGTGTGTACTGACTGTGACGTAATTAGATTGCCGATGACACGAAGACAAGGACGCCAAATGAGTTAACCATTAGCTCTAATTTGTGAACAATTATCAGGAATGTTCACAGGACTTAGATAAAATCCATGAAAAGTGTCATTTGTGAATTATTATGAAAATTGTTGGTGTAATTAATTTAATAAAAAAAATGCTCTTTAAACTAATGGTTTGGGATTGCAGGCTTTCCAAGACTTCTTGGAACATCGTCAGAGTGAAATCCTCTAGAGAATAACACTGACTTTTAAATCCATAGCTATCAGCCTTGAAACGCTATTTTTAGCGCCAAAAATCAGATCTCGCTGGAATTTCTTTAAAAATGCGCGAAGAAAAACATTTGAAATTGAATTGCATTTGTGTTAGATTGTACCGGTTTTAATCAGATGTAACGTGTATCTCAGAGAAAAAGTCATCCGAACTCTTGGACGAAAACAATTTTTGTTGTTACAAGCAACGACACAAGAAGTGAATCCCGTGCATGTTGATAATCTCCGATAGCTTTAAAATGGCCAAAATAAAGATTTTCGCGTTAAACCAACTACAGTCTATCCCTGTTGATTTCTAGTTTCTGGTCCATCTACGACTGCTGAATAGTCGTTACATCTTCGGAGGTGATAATCATTAAGTCATTAAAATGAAATTTTGGCTTACTTAAAAATTACTCAAACAAAATTAAATTAACTGGTTGTAGATGTTTCGAATTTTAATGGAATTTTAATGGAAACGTATTTTTCTTATCCAAATCTTCATTTCATCAACATTGATTGTAACATGTAAGTGCTCTTTTTGAATAGTCTGTGTAGCACTGTAGGTTTGTCTGTCTACCTAGCAATCTTGTTCCAGTACCGAGAAAAGAAGTATGCATCGTCCAACTCGTAGTCCAGGAGTACGCTTTGTATAAAAGCCAAGAGCCGCTACAGTTGTAGTAGTTTGTAGGCGAAATATATTCCTAACACTATAATAGTTTAGTGCCGGTTCTGTAGTAGAATTAATGTAGGCAAACTCTTTACCTTCATGTAGCTCTAACAGTCCAGAGCCGAAACCTTGTATTACATGCAGTACTGTTTTATATATACACTGGCAAAAAAAAATGAAACCGCTATATACTGTTTTCCTGTGTCACACAACCGATCAAGCTAAACTTTATATAAAAAATATTCCAAACCCTGCAATTTTTCATACAAATATATGTGTCAAAGAAATTATATCACTGGAAAGTTGTGGGCATGCCAATATGTTCATTTATAACGATTTACAAAGTTTTGAAATATCATTTATCCTAACAGATCGTATTATAATAGAGATTCATAAGCTAAATGGTCATATCCCCATAGTCTGCTTGAATACAGGAAGTGTCTACCTCGTATATATTAGAACATTAATCAAAATTAAGTGAGGTAGTTCCTGTATTTCAATATTCCTACCACAAAACACCAAACGTATACAGAAGTATAGCTCGGTATCGTACATTTTATACATGTACAGTACCTGCCATTTTCTTTCCGGGGAACCAGTCTAATGTTTCATTTGAATAGGAAGAGTTGGCGCCTAACGATGCATCACACTGTATTTTGCGGTCTATGTATTAGATTGTGCTCAATAACGTTTTGACAGTAGGAAACACATAAAATCCAGCCCGACAAAGATTTACCTCTTAGCTATGTTGAGGGAAGTTGGTCTTAACGAAAATCCGTTCTCCTCTAGAGTTAGTTTAAGTGTGCCATATCAGACGGTTATACTTGTGTTCTTGTATTGCCGTTTGGTGTGTTTGCAATTCTAGTTTATATAATTTACCATTTAATAAGACATACATGTATTCGGATTAAAAGCTGTACGCATTGATGTTTGAAGCATTGCAGTTTCTCTGTTAAGTGTGAAGAACATATAAATTTGCAAAGAGTTTGAAAATAAATACACATATAGAAAAAAATTAGACCAAGGATGATTTAAGATCGGGAAGCGACAATAGATTATCAACATATTACAGATTAGGTATAGTATCAACAAGGAAAACCATAAAACGACAAAAGGAAATGAAACGCTTTGACACGGTAGCATGATGACGGGAAGAGGAGGTCCACTGACAATACCTGTGTCAGAAGGTAAATTCATCAAACATGTGTAAAACTAAACTTCCGGCCGTTGAAGTGTTGTATGTCGCTGATCATCCGATATATATAATCTAGTAATCAGAAACCAGAGAGTCGCGCTTTCAAAAGTGACAAACAAATTAAAACACGATATAACCAAGATACAAAGAAAGGAAAGGGTGAAAATCGGTGAAAAAAACTGAATGAATAAGAAAGGTATACCATTTAAAACCTGCACGTGAATGGTTGTGATGTAGTGTTCGGACGTCCGGCACAAATAGTCCCCGGCGTCTGTCATTTTAGCTTTCCGGAGTTTCAGCACGCTTGTGATAGTCTTTTTAGCAAGGTATACACTCTTGGTTATCTCTATCCCTTTCAATTCGTCCGAGTCGAGTTTGTCACCGTCCTTGAACCAGTCTATGTCGTGAGGAGCGTAGTAGTCGGTTGCGTTACAACTTAACACAATGGTATCGCCTTTCTCAACGAACCTTTTCCCAGTTATTTTTATTTCTGCAAAAGATTTCAAATTATAGCTAAAAATCAGTTGTGAGAGAAAAATAAAACAAATTGTGGTGAAAGCCAAAATGACCGCATATCGGGCAATATCAATAAAACTATTATAATCTGATTATGTGAGATGTAGCTTTTTTTCAATCAGTATCCCTTTTTGTCGTTGTTAAGAATAATTTCTTTTCCAATTGCCGATATACAATTATTGTTTGTTTGGTAAAAATATAAACAGTGCTTACACAAAGAAAGCGACAGACAGAAAAAAATCGGTCAGTGTTAGTTAAGAGTAGACATTCAATCACTGAAGAATAGAACAAATCTTCCCTGAGAATCGACTGGTGACGATGTAAAAATAGCCATTGCACTTTTAAATTGAATTAAGGCCATGCTATTTAAAGTGTTACAGATAACATATAAGAGAACAGGACAAGTAAGCAGTACAGGCAATTCAAAGGCGAGTCCTACCCGTATATATATATATATATATATTAGTACATGCAGACAACGAAAATACCCGAAAATATGTATTACCTGCATTGTATTTCGTCCAGTCTGAAACAAATGATGTTAAAATTAGGTAAAACCTCTTGTTGTACAAATGAAGCTTTCGTCTATACTATGTATATGCTTCGTCTTCGTATATCATTACTTTCTTCATTGTCCACGTCATAAGCTAAATGTTACTCTGCATACCTCGGTGACTACATCAATGTCACAATCTATGCATACCCTAATCCACGTCATTGTGAATGCCACTGTTACATGCATACATGTAGCGTCATTGTCTTCATATGTCACTATTAGCGCCATTGTCATTGTTATTATCACTGACGTCACATGTAGTTATCTATGTCATTAAGTGTATATATCATTATTAGCGTCATTGTCAAAACATGTGATTATTAGTATCACTGCCGTCACATGTAATTATCAACGTCATTAAGTGTACATGTCATTACTAGCGTCAATGTCTACACGTGTTATTGGATGTGTTAAGTTCTTTATCTACAAATGACATCATCAATACCATTGTCGTTTTACGTCGTTATTAGCTTACTTGTCTAAACGTGTCCATTATGACTGCTATTACATGTCACTACACATGTCATTATCAACATCAGTATCTGTACATGTGATTATAAACATCATTGTTTACACATGTCATTATCAACGTCATTGTCTACACATATCATTATCAACGTCATTGTCTACACATGTCATCATAAACATCATTGTCTTCACATGTCATTATTAACGTCATTGACTACACATTTCATTATTTACGTCAATGTCTACACATGTCATTATCAACGTCATTGTGTACACATGTCATTATCAACGTCATTGACAACACATTTCATTATTAACGTCAATGTCTACACATGCCATTATCAACGTCATTGACTACACATTTAATTATTAACGTCATTGTCTACACATGTCATTATCAACGTAATTGACTACACATTTCATTATTAACGTCAAAGCCTACACATGTCATTATCAACGTCATTGACTACACATTTCATTATTAACGTCAATGTTTACACATGTCATTATCAACGTCATTGTCTACACATGTCATTATCAACGTCATTGACTACACATTTCATTATTAACGTCATTGTCTACACATGTCATTATCAATTTCATAGCTTTATTGCCTACTTTATTATTGCCAAGGGTCAACATTGTTTACAAAAAAACATTTCTGACCTCATTGATGTCATCTCCTACTGATAGCATTAGGAGCATCATGTACAAAATAATTGGATTCTTTAATATTGTTTCTAAATACGTTGTGTAAGAAACAGATCAGAAAATTATAATGTTTTATGACAGCCATTCTTTTTCTTGCATATTGCGGTAAGTTATAACGACTTTGGTTTGCGACAGAGTATAATAACCTTCCAATCAAAATCTTTGATTTCAAACAAAGAAGAACGAAATTGAATTGTATGAAAGACATTTTGACATCAAATTAAGCTTTCTAGTCAAAATATTCAAACACCCGAAAGCAATGATGTTACAGTTCGTTTTGATTGCTGATTTAATTATTGCTACATAACCTTATACACTTTCAAGCCTAAAACAGTTGTATCGTACTAACTAGATACTGCTGATACGTATCAAAATCGATGCAATTTAAACCGTAAATTAACTTCTATGTTTGTCCCTGCAATCCAGTCAGTTAGTCCTTTAAAAGAAAGAAACCCGGTTCCTGATTATATCAAAACTATCCGGTTTAAACCGTATCCCTGTTTAGGGATGCCTACATTTGTGTCGTTGTTACAGGTACTCTCCCCTTATTTGTAAATGAGGTCAAACAATATCATTTATCAGCGTTAATGATGTAATTCGACGTCGAAACACATTATCTATTATGTGACCTCGGGGTTAGATTTATACTATACGGTTTCGCCTTTTTTCTATCAAAATGAACATTTGTCCTCGAGGAAAATAGATGTTACATACATCAGAGCCGCAGGTCAGCGTCAGGGCGATAGCTAGAATGTGTAGCACATTACCGACTCAAGGACAGATGTCGATAAGAATCCGTAATCAAGTTCACAAATATGCCAGCACTGAGTGGATTTCGGTTATTCAATTCATATCTATTAAATGCATTTACAATCCGCCGAATATTTCGTTACCGCATGTAACTGACATGGAGTGATGCTATCAGGTTGACATATGCGTATGAGGCTGTTTGTCGATCTAACGGATCTCTGCCGTATGTAGGGCAAAGTTACTTCAAGTGATATGATGCAATGTACAGGAATTCAATGTTTAAAATATAGTAACAAAAACTAAGCCGACTCGTAATGCCAATGAGAAGTACTCTCATAACCATACGTCAAATATAAAATCCATATATTAAGCAGGCTGAAATACATTTTTTTCAACAATTTTTTTCATCAATTAAACATGTTTATGTCAATTCAAGTTGCATTTAATCACTTGTCTTCACGACAAAAAGTGTTTTACCTACCTTGAACGTCTAGCATGAACTGGCGACGTATGCTCCTGTCCTTGGTGCTGACTTGACACTCATAAGGTCCCTCGTCTTCCAAGCTGACATTACGGATGTGCAGGTTCCACTGGTCAAGACGGACTTTGTGTTGCGTACTAAACCTCGCGTCCGAGACGTAAGTATATTCTCCTACAGTCAAAGGGTTTTCTTCTGACGCTCGTCTCCAAACAACCTTAAATCAACATATAAAGATGAGAAATTAATGCTTGATTTGGAGGATACCTGTATTAGCTGTCCATAGCTAATGCTTGATTTATAATATTGTACACGAATGATCAAAAATGAGTATAGTATATAAAACCACAAAACTATTTGTGGTTTTTTTATGAAGATTTATGATTTTTACGTTTGCTTTGTTTTGTTTTTTAAGGATTGAAAATAGTTTAAATTTCCTTATGAATAAGGCGTTGCAGACAAATCTCAGAGAATACGACGTACATGGCAAATATCAATACAATGTGATACACGTCCAATTCATGTCGATGAATTGTAGACTAAACCCCAAACATGCATGAAGGGGGTGGAGGTGTGCATATGCATATATGTTCATGTATATACATAAACATCTTTGCGAGCGAAAGATGTATTTTTTTTATAATACTGTATATAATTTCTTTAAAATGGGTTTACTGAACAGGTTTTCGTTATTTAGTCACTCCCCTATTTAAATGTTGATTTAATTTTCTCTACTCATGAAAAGCGCATAACGTCTCTGGCGATGGAAATAATCATAACGCTTTCTAATTTTTTTTAAATGAAATCAATTTGAAACTTGGCGGAAAACTGTCAATAGTTGTTCCTGTTTCAAACTCCTACATACAAAAATTGAAAAGGCAAACATATATATATATATATATTGCGTCATTATGTACATGTTTGGATATTGATATTGTAACTGTATACGCAATCTAATAGTTAAGTGGCAATGCATGTTTACTAATGATCCTATGGTATTGCGCATTTAGACGCAGTTTATGCAAATCAGTGCATGTAATACCCCCTGTGTCATATACATTGGTCTTAAATCGCGTTCATGCACATGTCCAAACATAACAATGGCCCTACCGCTCAACCAGTAAACAATACCATGTCATGTTCCCACATAACGAATCTATATGTTAAATCGGCATTTACATTTCTTCCTTTTTCATTTTGTTAGGCAGTTTATCTAAATATTTTTATGGGAAGTGTATAAACGCGTATCGTGTTGAGACATACACACTATTGAAACTCAGAAACTATTCACAGGGATTTTAATTCAAATCTGTCAATCTTGAAGGGTTAACAGGGGCTGTAAAAGCATACAATACATGCATTGAAAACAATACCTTAGCATTTTGTCAGCTGACTATTTATCATTAATCATCAAATATATTACACCTTTTTCAACAACGGGGAAATTTGAAGACGGTACTTATACGGTTATACGATACAAGATAATCATGATCAGGAAAAACTGATCAATACAAATGTTGTGCTCACTCCCTATTAAAGTTAATTAGTTTGCAAAGGAATCTCTCTTGTGAGCGAACTGATTTTGTTATACATAGCTATTTAATAGGTTCTACTCTGACACAATGAGGACAACACGACACCGGAGTAGGATCTGCCCATTTTGAGTGCCATTTATTTAATAATACTAAATAATAAAACTGAGTAATATCATGCGTTTGAAGTATTGTATCTCTTATGAACTTTGAATATTCCCTTGACTGAACTTAAAATTCTTATATTACCACCAAATTGGGCCTTAAATGACGTTTTATAGATTGCTCGTGACCTTATTTCTCTAATACAATAAAAGTACAAACTTCCATGCTTGTCTTTCCTATTAAATTGGACAGATGATTGGTAAATGTACAAGCAAAGAATGACAAATTAATAACAGATTGCCATGAGGGATTCCATAAAAGCTGTGGAATGAAGTATTCTAAATTCTATGCATTGGTTTTAAATCAAAATCAAATTTTGTTTGTCTCCCAAAATATAATTGAATATACTCTAGTCTGCACACGTCGATATTTGCAAAACCGTTAAGACAAATGATATCCATCCGGAGGGCACGCTTGTCAGTTCATATTTATTTCTACCCTTATTTTGTATCAGGTTTCCGTGAAACCATTAACTCTGCTTTGTATGCTTGTATTATTATCATTTCAATATTTTACAGGATGTTTTTTTTCATTTAGAACATACAATTCAAATAATGAGGCACACATCCAAACGCTTTACTTAAAAAGGCCATTAAATAAAACTAACTCTTTATTACGTATACCAAGTTCCTATTTGTATGGGAACCAGGTTCCCGTGTCATAATAAATTATCCGTTTCCTTCCTCATTACCCACGAGGCCCCTTCAAATCGAGGCAAAGGAAACGTCCGACAGGGTATTCTTCAAAACGAGGCAAAGCATCGTCCGTCAGGAAATGTTTCAAACCGATGCAAACGAAACGTTCACCAGGGAGCGTATAACACCACAACAAACGTAACATACACTAGGGCACTGAATAAAACACGACACCTGACTTGGAGCAACAAATTATCTTCTTCTCAGAATCAACACGGGTAGAATAAAGATTGGGGTTAGATTAACTTTACTTCGTGACCTCGACACATCGTAGTTTTCCCCCAGCAGCAAGTACCGAGGTCTCTAAGAAACCGCTAACACTATCCGTAATCAAATTTACTAAGAAGCTTGAACATGCGGTTTTCATTCGCTATTTTCTGTTCATCTAACAAACCTTATTGAGGAAACAAAAACGGATGTGTATTATGTCATTCTATTTGATGAATGTGTTCACCATTCCCGAGGGTTTAAAGTAATTCAATTGAATATGTCACAATTTTAGACTTAGATGGAAAGCAACACGTGACGTGGCCTGAAGATAAATTGAAAGGTAGTTCATTCTGTGTCGATCTATTAGTGTGCGTTACATATAGGTGTGTCAATTTGTCCTTTGGCATTTTCAACATAGCTATTGCTATTGGATTCCAAACCATGTCTTTTTAACGTTAAGTCGGTGATACATACTTTGTCGCAGTTGCATGTTATCGAAATCGATCAAAATTGGCTTTTGGCGGGACACTCTTTCGCATGATTTTCTGAAATTCGATGTTTGGTTGTTAACTTGCATTGCATAACTTCCGCCGGACGTAAATAACTTTAGGGGCATTTTTAGAAGTTCGAAATTGCACTTGGGACACTTAATTTAAGTGGCAAGGACGCGTGTATCAACTAATTGTTGTTTCGAGGTTCCGGGAAATCCTTTTACAAAGCTCTCTCTCGTTGACTTTCATCCAAACCAAACACAACAGATGGGTGGAACTGAGCCTGTATCATTCTTAAATACTACACAACCACCGAGCAAACACTATATAACATTTGTTCGTACTTGATAAATCTCATCCCGAGTATTGAGATCTTGAGCAAAACTTTGATAATTCAATTTAACAATCTTACTCCAATAGTTTGATTAGGTTGTCTCATTCCTAAATGACGAATGATTCAATTATTTTCTTCTCATTGGTAAACCGTCATTGTTTCTATAATAATATATGTACGCTGCACGCTTTGTGCCTAGCTCATAGTTATAGTAAACACTGTTAGGCCATTAAATTATATGTTGAAAACGTCACAGAAAGCAATAGCAATGTATAAACAAAGGTTAGGTTATCCCGCACGCGCTTAACCGTTGATACAATGTACAGGTGAACCCATGTCTATTCCTTTTGAAATTTCTTAAACATGGAGTGTACACATATAAAATGTCAATACAACGCCAGTCACGCAGGATTATATTGATTATTAAAACAAACTATATAAGTGTAACAGCGTTGAGGTATAAATGTTGTTTTTCTATCATATTTCGTTTTGACCAAACGATCAAATGCTGGACGCTAAAATATCTATCAACACATATCGGATTTAATTCAAATTGCGTATACGTGAATTTGCTACCCGAAAAAGTCAAATATCATACGAGATTGACAACCTTGTGCCTTAACAAAAGACCACAAAATGTGGATCGACCTTTCTAATGCACAAACATAATTATGGAAACAGTGACTTCCAACCTAGAAAATGACAGAACATGTGACTATTATGTAAGGAATAAAGGATACATGTAAAAGATGATAGCAAAGTGTCATGGTACGCCCAATACAAGTATATTAACAGTTCATTATTTTAAAGTGCATGCATACGTGGATGTTCTGTGTAGAACTGCAGTCATGTTAGTTGTACACACTGCTTTGGCGTTTGTTTACGTAACCATAGCAATCAACAAGGCCGACTATTGTATTGCCAACTCGCATTTTACTAGTTTTATATTGTGATGATATAGGTATTTTATAGGGATTCCATAGGAATGAGGAGTAATTTCATTCATAGCTGTCATTTTGAAAAAACAGCGATCATTACCTCGTGTAATTATTGTTCTTACTGCAGGGAGAGTAGCTCACACAAAAGGACATCGTGCATGTAGTGCAACTTCAGAAAAGTTTTGCCATGTAGAACCAAATGAAAACAGACTACATGATAATATGCATAACTAATGTTTCAAACCTGTATATACAGAGTTCGTTAAAAACGGTAGCTAATGCCATTTTAAGGTTAAATTGGACATCCTGATATATCTCAGACGAAGCAGTTTGTAAGATGCAAAGAAGTTACAGTCCCGTTTCTGACACTAGCAAGATTGTTTTCATATTTCAGGGTCCCGGTCTCATCACTATATTCATATTATAACAATGTTACACATGCAAGTCCAAAGCGGTCTAACTCTAGATAACAGTGTCCCATCCCTGTATCTCTTTGTAATACTGTAGAATACACAATTTGTCTGGGTTTACGGGGCAGTAAAGTCATTAGCACGCCTTGATTCCCCTGTGATTTTACAACATTCGAGTGGTTTCCAGAACTTCCTGATAAATTATTGAAGAAGCGCCACTGGATATGTATCCCGGACCTCTCCTTTGACAGGCGCCAGTGTGAAAGGTCAACAGTGCTAACGCGCCTTGGATTTCTGACACGCCATACGAAAATCTTACAATCAATCATTCTCCAGCATACATGTCAGGTGCATTTATAATTTAGTATCTATCGAGACCAAATGGCCGTGAAACCAAATGCGTTTTTATAATAGCCATTTGATAAAAACACAATTTTTTAAAATGACAAGTTGACAAATAGAATTTGTACGGAACATGCATCATCGTAATTTTGCTGTTTATAGGTAGATCAATCATGTTTACTTAAAACCTTTCTCATGTATCTATGCATATTTAACGATGAAGAGGACGGATGGTCTGTTGGGACGAAGATGTGTTGCAGGTAGCGTTTAGTCCAAATTGATGTAAAAGAATATATATGCATATGGAATATCAAATAAACCAGTTACTCCTTAATTAATGATCAGGGGAATGCGTTGATGTAAACTTTTCATGGAAATACAGTTGCAACATATATTAACGGGTTTTTGTCTATTCCGAATTCTGAGTTCTTTCTCATATCTTGCCTTTTTAATCCAGTTTGAGTTTACTAACGGTTCTGTTGACACTTCAGCATTCTCTTGTTGTGTTTCTCTATATGCTATGGACCTTTATATGTGAATAGTAATAACAGACATGTTCGCCAGATGAACTCTGAGAAGTGCAATCTATAACCGGAAGTGGCAATATTAATGTTCGGTTAATCGGGATGCGTTAATGAGAATGTAAGATTGGGTTCTATCTGCCCCTGGTACCTCTTTAATGACTACCAATATAATGACAGTTTTCGCACGTTATCACCTGACCCAGCCAATCAGTCTAGGTGTTTCTTGATGTCATGGGATTTTCACAAGCGGAAATTGGTTTTCATACAAAGTAGAACACACATCAAGGAAATAAATCAAGAATTTTTAACTTAATGATTTTGCTCTGATCTAGCTGTAACCTTGTTTCGGCAAAAGCAGCTGACAAAATGCACGAACCTTCTCCCACTTTAATCGTCAGAGAGAAACCATTAAAACGCAAAAAAAGAAAGATAAATAAATCCTGATAATGTGTGAACCATTTAGCCTTTAAGGTTTTCTCGTAAGGACTTGTGCATCACTTGAATGTGGAGCAACGATAATCGATAAATATTATCTTACAATATACATAGCATCAAAAGTTTGCTTGTGGGTATTTTTTATCATTGATATTCTTTGTAAATAATAGCATCATCATATATTTAACAGTTGAAATGTGAATGTTATTGAATTGTTATTGTGATTTTTAAAAAATTCAGATAAATAATTGACAGAGGTATGCGGAACGAAAATTCAGGATTACCATGTTACTTATGAGGTGCATGCATATTATGAGTATTTAACAAGTTTAACAGTTCTGTAATATGAAATTGAAAATGTGGATAGGGTTTTGGGATTGCATGGGATTGTGTTCTCCCTCTACTTAAGCCATATGACATCAAGGGCATTTGTTCATTGCCACTATGACTGGTAAACAACAGATCATTATCACTCACCTAAATGTCGACTGAATTTCTGTTTTGACTGCTTGTCAATGAGCTTTAAACAAATAACATTATGTATCTTTGAAGTCGAAATCTAACTCTAAAATAGATCACATAGTCATTAATATAAGTTTTGAATGACCGTGGTATCCTATCTCGTTGCCATGTTAAGTAGTAAATATCAATATTTACAGACAATACATGCATTTAACCATATTATCTGTCTGGCTTCATTCCGATAGTTTCCGGTATAATGACACGTACATCAGTAGATGAAAGGCAGCGATGTAGATTACTTGTCGTATTTGGCTAAAGTTCAATTTTCCGGAGTGTGAGTTTGCGGTCAAACCTTTTCTGCATCTATTTCATTGGCCCACAAACCGCATAACGATGCCGTGTTACTCTCGGAATCTTTATTAGGTTAACAATTCCACGAACCATCCCTTAACGAGAAAAATTACCATATCAGTCTTTGATACCAAGTACGCCTCATTTCGTACTTCCATGTCCACTGATACAATATGGAACGTCGCTTCTTATCGGTAACTCGTTTGAGTTAGACTTAATTGATATTTTAATTACTGTTATTAGAAAGTGTGTTAGGTTAGTGGTGATATTTCCTGGATTTCGATGTTATAGATGTTACGCTGTCATCAAGAGAGCATCAAACACAATTTATGTGGTCCATAATGGGCCATGAAATTTCAGTCGACAGGGCTCCGCTACCTCTTATATATATGCCAAACTATGGTTGTATTCATACGCGTCACTGACTCCGTGGTGGTGATTTGCCGGAACCTATGCCTTTAAGTACAACTCTAACTACCCGATAATATCTCTAAATATTCAAACACATGAAATATAGAATACTGTCGGTCCCATTAAATGTTGATATAGCATTAAATTTGCTTTCTACACCAGGTGAACTATATCTCATAATATACACCGCCCTTTTCTCGCAATGTTAATATGACATAAACATAATGAGTCAATTTGCGCAGTGTTGAATATAAACTTCATGTATTTGACAACAATTATAAAATAAGTTATTTCAACTTATATTTAATCACTCTTGTTGGCCCAGATGTTAGCGCGCGTGGCTCTTAGTGTTGGAGGAAACCGGAGTACATGGAAAAACCCACTGAGTCAGCCAGGTAACCCAAAACCTTTTCAAACATGTTTATATTGCCTGGTCTCTGCATCAAGGACAAATGGTTTCGATACAGGGAATAGGAGCGCATGATACCCCCATAAAATATCTATAACAAGTAATATGTATAGCCTAATCCAACCATCCCTAGACAGCACTGGCCAGGACGTAATAAAGATTGGCAGCCAATTTAAGAGGCCGACAGCACAGGCATAGGCAGTTTTCATGTATAGAGGGATTATCATGATTGCGGTTACATTGGCATCGCTGACTCCCTATTGACTGGTATTTCCTCCAATACAATCAATTATTTACGTCCCGAATACGGAATCTTACTCTCATCATAGATATAGATGTATAGCAGACAGGAAACAATCCCTGTTATCTAAGAACGTTCTATTCAACTTTGTTAAACCTTAGCCCGAAGAGAATTTCGAAGATAAAGGAAGCATCAGCGAGTCGTAGTGATCAGCTTGGGTTTAGTTTCATTTTCAGTATCTTTATAACGTCCATCACTCAACAGATACAGACATTTAACGAATCATTGATAACTGAACACACAATGGAGTACAGCCATGCACTTGTCTACGGAAACATTTTTTTCTTCAACTCATTGACTTAATGTTAATACAATGCTGCTTTGTGAACAATTTCTATACTCAGTGATTATCATACCATTTTCTTCTTTTTCAAGTAATAAAAACAAAACAAGTGGATTCCTCTGACTTGGTTTATCAGTGAGGAAGCAAACTTAAGTTTGCATCAGATCCATGCTTACGCAAGGAGGCAATGAATACCGCCCTCAACGCACACGCATGTATAGCTCACGGAGGCATGTCCTTAAATGACCTTAGTTGTTGATAGGAGATTAAACCTGATTCTACTTGTTGTCATGTTAATGCACACGTACTCTATATAAACGTGGTATCTTATGTAATACTACTGGTTCCTTTTGTAAACAAGAACGATTATTGACTTGATGACATAAACTTCCCAGATTTCGTTCGGTACACTTGACCTGACCTGACATCAACCTGCCGACGGTAACGATTTGTCGATGAGAAAACGTGATTCTCATACATTTATTATAATGTAGCTCAGGAGAGGGAACATGGAAATGTTTTTCACTCTTTTTCATCAATCGCATATATAAGCAAGGAATTACAGATCATAAATGTACATTTTGTACAACAACTATGCATGTAAGAAAAAGAAAAATTCCACATTCCTTTTACTTAGTACTGCAGAGCTACTGTACAGATACTGTACATATGACACAGCATATCTTAGTTGGTACAATAGTACATGTATTAACTTCAAAGCAATATCACTATATTAGTTATTTATATGTTTTAAACAAAAACGTTTAACATGTTTACAGTAGCTAGGTGTAATTCTGTCACGAATCCACATCAAAGACATGTGTATATAATACACTGTGCGTGTGGTATGTCTTGTAATCTTCGGATTTGAGTATTAATGTTCTTTATCTATAAACTGTACAGTGTGCTATGTAGACATAGATTTTGACTGAAAGAAGTTTTGTTTTGCTTTTCATTTAAGGTATATATAATAAGACTCGGTTTTTATTTCGATATGCAACGTACGAGTTAACCCTTTACCTACCTGACGCAATTTGGAGGAAATTACCTCGACCTTTCTTCGTAATAATGGATTTCTTTTAATTTGAATTTCAATAACTTATTTACGAAAGTGAATGTGCAACGATGTATTAATATCGATTCATATGTATTACATGTATCGATTAATTGTTTATCTACTCAGAATAATGATTCATATTTAAGACTTTGTCGAGTTCATCACACAACAGGTATAATATTCTGTCCCATGTTTGATTTCGGTGAAAGAGTCCAAACTCATATGCGCAGTATACCATGTTCATTGTTAGTGATGTGCATAGTCCATCTAGTTACCACAGGGAAATTCCACGCCTAAATCATGGCTATGATTAAAGACACATGTACATAGAAAATATAAACCATTTCAGTCTAATCTATATCACCACTCGAATCGTTAAAGCCTGTAGTGTCTCTCACAATGGGGAACAGTGTACTGATTGATACTGCATACACAGTCTTAATCATCATATCTTAAGATGCAAATCATTATCTTTAATTAACATAAACCGGTCTTAAAAGAGTTAATGTGTATGCTGTCTTTCCGACTGGAATGTGATAATCATATCTTGGACCATGGTCAATGTAAGCTCTTATCAAGTAATAACAAAGTAGTATACATATGAACAAGATGTAAGTACGTTTGGGTGTATGTTGTTAGCTGGTTTTGATGAGGAGTTTGCTTACTGTTTTCGTGCCGAGATTCTGGACAGTGCAGTGTAAGATAGCTAGACTGCCCCTTTTCACCGTGTAGTTTTTCTTGGTGGCGAGTATCTCAGGTGTACGGGTGGCATACCCGCGATCCGTGAAGTATCGGTGACCTGTAACGAAATGACCATAATTATAAGATAGATTTCATGCTGACCGCTACCACAATTGAGCTGGACACGTTCATTAACACTGAATGAGATTTTATCAAAGCGATGATCACAACTCAATAAAAATTTGATACGATGATCTTGGTCATTATCAATTTTATCTTGAACCGAAGGCAAAATAGAATATGCCCATCAAAGTGACACACGTCTGCCTCCTCATCCCTATATTTTACAAAATGAATGGAGCAATAAAGATTGTAATCAAAAGATTTGACATTATAAAGCAATATTAAGGCACTATAAATGGCGGACAGCTCTACTGTGACAAAGGAGCGGTGGTATAGCATTCCCTCATACCAATTTATATATACACCCCATCGATTTCGTTAGTATCTGCTCGATAGAATGTCAATGCAACGTTTAAGTAAATTGTATGATTCCTTTACAACTGGAAATTAACATTCTTAACATACTGTACACTATATTTATGATGACATTATCATAACCTCATATTGTTGAAATCGGGGAAAATAATCAAAGTATAATTTCGACAATGTCAGATTTTCATCTCAAGCCTGTGTATTATTGCTAGTTATCACTGATTGGTTGTAAACTAAATAATGTTGGCGTTATAATATTTATTGTGTTATACTGATGTCGTATAGAATGACTATTTTACTGAAATTATACAGTATCACCTATATTGAGCAGTTTCGACTTGCAATGCGTCTATGTACATTATTAACACGTGTATTCGCCATGTTTTAATACAAAAGAGGATATTTGATGTTTTGTACATTTCAATTGCATTTTAAAGTCTTGATGATGCAATGTTTAGTTCCTTCTGCAAACCACTGACAAATAGTGTGTGTAAGAAATATACGCAGTGTTACATGTAAAGCTAATAAGCTATATCGGAGGTATGTGGAATAGCCCTGCCTCATAACCTGCCATCGGGTTATAAAATCTTAAATAACATTGCTCTGATATGGTACTGAAAAGTAGTTTACACTATTACTACTCTCCTTGTAATGATGACATCCCTATAAAGCGAACATCGTTACGTAGTGATCGACGAGTGATGATCCGTGATTGCGTTGCAGAATAATTAGCGTTTGATTCCATCGGCCAATCATCGGTGTTTGCATTATTTACAGAATAATGATGAACGTTTTGTGTTTTGTGTTTTGTTTTTGTACGTGTTTAGAACAGGTATGGTCCATTGATGAAGGTACACGCAATTCCTGATTTAAAGTACATGTACCACAACGCAATAAGGTATTACAACTTGGACACGGCAGCACGACATTCCTCTAAGTCATGTGGTTAATCGGATTCAAAAGTTTACTTCAGGTATCTACAACTGACAGTAAACTGAATCAAACGCTCACTGCTTCATATACCTACACGTTATGTGAAACTATTGGACCATCCTGACTCTGTGTTTTTACGTTAGTTATGCAAATTTATAACGTACATGTTGTTTATTGTAATCTTACAAAACTGACGGGTTTTTTGGGGGTTTTTTTAGGTTGTTTTTTATTCCACATGTTTAAAGGGACAATTTAGTGAAGTAAGTGTTTCTTTTATAAACTTTTCACAACATTCTTCATGAACATACAATTTGATACTCCTTAACTGTACAGCCGTACAATTCAAGCTAACAAAAATGTCCCTCGTACCGAGGTGAGAGGGTAAATTCAAGCTTTATTCACCCTGCCCCTCTGGAATACAAGTACATGCATTTGTTCTGAATCAAAATCATCTTCAAATAGCAACTCAAACATTCTTATAATTGAGTTTCTTTTACGTTTAAACCTATTGATATCGTACTTTCTGTGGTTTGAAATTCTCCCTGCCGCAACCTCTCAGTGAGGCATGCTCTAATTGAACCTATTCGAATTTATTCAAATCCAAATATGAACGGAAATATCTGATATTATGATATTTATAATTCTTACTTGCGATGTATTATGTAAATTCAAGAATGGATTATGTGTGAATTCAAGACTCATAACTGACACTGTGTTTTCGGTTGACAGCGTAGCGCTGTTCACTGAAAGATCGGATGTTCCGCTATTTCGGTCGTAGCCATTTTTATCACCGGCTTTTCCAAACGATGAAACTGACCACACTGGACGTTGGCTTTTGGTCAAGTCATTTCCAACTGCATACATTTTCGTTATAAGGTATATATTTTCAGTAAAAACTGGATTTTCATGTCATTTTACTTTATAGCCCCTTTAAGGAACTTTGTACATGTATATGTATCAGCTACGAATATTTGAAATATTTTCAAGAAAACAAAGGACCAAATCTCCCTTTCCTCTTGAAATAATTATAGATTACAGTAAACTACAAAGCTATCTCAACGCCATCATACGATATCGTTAAGTAACTTTGACGTCGTTGTGCCTGACGTTGTTGTTTGATTGAAGTTTCTCAAAGGAAACTGAAACTTACTCCAGGTTATCATTGGGAATATTTTTCGGTAGGAAATATATAATGTGTATACATAACTATCCTAATGAGCACACCAATACGAATGTATAAACCGGACGTCGATTATTTCAAAGACCTGCATGTCACCCTTATGCCACGCCCATATCCCAACAAAGCGATATCTGATAAAGAGGTGCAGTGTATTTGTATATGTATTCCTTTGAACATGTACATCAAGATGTTTGTACCATAGGCCATATACAATTTTGAAATACACATGTAGTACTCCCTATATGACCTCCGAAGATAATTGACAAGCAAATTTAAAATCGTAGCTCGGCAAGATTCTGTGTTTCTATTTCTTTCCTCTTTATCTGTTTATCCGGAATTTTGTAATCTAAATATGAAAAATGCTGTTCATTTTAGATGGGTTTTTTTTATATCTTTTATCGTTACTTGCATCATATTTATACTAAGAATGTTATATATGTACTTCTGCAGTTTTGAAAGATTGTTTTTCTTATCTTAATCAAAAAACCGTTTACGGACCATTCTGAGAATGTTGTGGAATCTAGGAACATTCCTCTTCATTTTGTATGTCTTTGCCATTAACCCCCTAATCTAGAAGCCATAACTCTTATCAAATATAGGATTTTACCAAGCCTTTGATAACTACTGCCGTACTATGGCTGTTATGAACTACGAAACTACACATAAACAATATCTTCCTATAAGTGTTGCATCAGCAAAAATATATATAACATAGATACTCTTATTATAACCGGTTTTTTGGTCATTCCTTGCCTGCACAAACAGTAGTTATGAGGTGAGCATGTGTTGTGCTATGTATTAACAATTTCTGTATATTTTTTGATATGATATAATTGATAGTATATACAGTGTGTATAAGGTTAGCTTGCATCCTCTGGGGCCAGGGAAGTCGAGGCAGACACACAGATATGTATTCTGCCCCCGAGAATGCTTTGGGTCGGTAAAAATGGGTTATTTAACGCTTATGTTATTATATCAAAATAAAACCTTTCAATGGGTAATTTTCTTGATATAAATGTCGCATTTGATGAAATTAATTGTAAACAAAATACAACTCTCTGATAATAACGTACCCTCGACCATTTTAACGTCCTTTATATTGGCATAGCAAAGTATGGGGAATGTAAAAAAAAATAAAAAATCACTTGACTGGAATAGACTGAGTAATAAATAATAAGAAATAAAAGAAAATATATATTCGAGTAAATAACGACGAAAAGCCATGCAATATGTTCTTACTCTATCGTGTTGTCTCCTCCATATTTGTAATTGACAAACAAAACAACGTTTACAGAGTTCAACGACCCACAACCTATCACTGTTGGTAATTTTAAAGAAAAACCAGTTGCTAAAACATTAAACAAATACGCAAGTAATTCGAACCTAATGAAAATAGACTGAACCGCCGCTGTATCTACAATGGAAGAATAGTAAAAACTGCCAGGGCTCGAGTCACGTCTTTTGGCTTGTCGACTTTGATACGCAATGGTAATCAGTATAACACTCAATGGAGGTTAGCTGTTATCAAATTATATGAAACTATATGTCGACTGGCTTTGTCTAGATGTTAATAGCAACCAGCAAACACCCTCATGGGTATTCAACCGAAGTTTCAAAATGGTAATGTTGATCTTATAAACTGCCGACTAACGGCTCGTTTGAAGATGATATTAATGACATTCGCCTGGTTGTGTAGGCGAACATTCGTTTGTCAAGGCTGAAGGTCACAGGCTGGTTGATAATACAACTAATATTACAGTTACAGCGGAAATATCAGGATGCATTCACATAGAAATGTAGCCGTACAACCCTTTAAGTTGCAGAGCAATGCTTTGCTGATATGTGATGTACATTTTATAGTATGGATCAGAAGGTACAGAAAGTCCTGGACAATTTATTCCACTTACATTGTCACTTGCTAGAATCAATGTGTATTGCCCTTTGAAGCGTTAGTGGTTAAATATTCTACGCCTCATACGATATAAAAGGAGACTGCTTGCATCAGAAATATTCGTCTAAACGTTCATTACGACATTTACGTGTTCATTGTATATCTCAATAACCGATTATTGTCGACATGTGATCACAAAACCAAACGACTTTCACATGACCGCGTACACTATGTCAAACCCGTTATAGATCACAAGATGTGATTGGTCTAACCTCTCACTTCCGGTGACCGCGTTTCCGCCGTGAGAGATATCAGATGTGAGGCTGGGTGACAGCCAACATATTATGGAGACTGAAACGTGAAACAAAAGTCGGCGTTTGATTCATAGCTCAATGATTCACAGTATAGGAACTATTTACACCGAATCAATATATGTTATAGTAAGTGTTGGCGACCAGACAGTTTGTTATGCTCCTTCCTGCATGCTTTACGCTGATACAGTCGGTGTTTAAGGAAATGAGAGTGATGCTCGTGAGTTTTTCTTCAATAAATAATCCAAAATTGCAACAGATACGTTCCTATTGAACAACCGAGACATGTCTAAACTAACCATTGCGTC